AAACTTCAAAGCTTTTGCACAGCAAAGGAAACCATAAACAAGATGAAAAGACAACCCTCAGAATAGGAGAAAATATTTGCAAACGAATCAATGGACAAAGGATTAATCTCCAAAATATATAAACAGCTCATGCAGCTCAATATCAAAAGAACAAACACCCCAATCCAAAAATGGGCAGAAGATCTAAACAGACGTTTCTCCAAAGAAGATATACAGATTGCCAACAAACACATGAAAGGATGCTCACCATCACTAATCATTAGAGAAATGCAAATCAAAACTACAGTGAGGTATCACCTCACATGGTCAGAATGGACATCATCAAAAAATCTACAAACAATAAATGCTGGAGAGGGTGTGGAGAAAAGGGAACCCTCTTGCACTGTTGGTGGGAATGTAAATTGATACAGCCACTATGGAGAACAGTATGGAGGTTCCTTAAAAAACTAAAAATAGAACTACCATATGACCCAGCAATCCCACTATGGGTATATACCCTAGAAAACCATAATTCAGAAAGAGTCATGTACCAGAATGTTCATTGCAACACATTTACAATAGCCAGAACATGGAAGTAACCTAAGTATCCATCAACAGATGAATGGATAAAGAAGACGTGGCACATATATACAATGGAATATTACTCAGCCATAAAAAGAAACAAAATTGAGCTATTTGTAGTGAGGTGGATGGACCTAGACTCTGTCATACATAGTAAGTCAGAAAAAGAAAAGCAAATACCGTATGCTAACACATAAATATGGAATCTGAAAAAAGAAAAGAAAAAATGGTCTGATGAACCTACGGGCAGGACAGGAATAAAGATGTATATGACGCAGATGTAGAGAATGGACTTGAGGACGTGGGGAGGGGGAAGGGTAAGCTGGGACGAAGTGAGAGAGTAGCACTGACATATATACACTACCAAATGTAAAATAACTAGCTAGTGGGAAGCAGCTGCATCGCACAGGGTGATCAGCTTGGTGCTTTGTGACCACGTAGAGGGGTGGGATAAGGAGGGTGGGAGGGAGGTGCAAGAGGGAGGGGATATGGGGATATATGTATACATATATCTGATTCACTTTGTTGTACAGCAGCAACTTATACTCCAATAAAGATATTAAAGAAAAATGAACTGTTAAGAAGGGAAATAAATAATATCTCTTAAGTAAAAAAAATTTTTTTAATTTAGAAGTAAATAAATAAGTGGGAGTTTTCTAACAATGGCAAATTCTGCTAGTTAAATATAAGATCCCTGAAATCACATTTAGCACTTGTTTTGGAGTTTTCTTTCTTAAATATGTTTAGTGAGCATTCTAAAATGAAAAATAGCCAAAAATATGCTACTGTAGACATTATTCAGCACTTAAAGCTATGTCATGTGATTTTTATACCACTGGACTTTATTAAAAGTGACCGTCCAAATACATTATTTCATGAAAGTAATATATTAACACAACTGAGTCATTTTTCTCAGTCTGACTTGAATAGTCTTTTTTTCATTCTTAAGTAAGGCAGTGGTAATGTTTCAAAGTCTGTGATTTAATTCCGTTAGCAATTTTATTGAAGGTTATGATGTTATCAGTTTCTCTAAGGAATAAAACAAAATAAGGTAACTTTCTCATATTTCATCAATTATGAGACACCCACTTTTTATATTTTAACATGTCTTGAAATCAGGTTGTATCTTAATTGATGGCATAACATAGTTTACCTAGCCATGTTTTTTTTCCTTAGTATACATAAAATATTGACCTATCTTAACAATCGTTGGCATCTTAAGTTCGACTAAATATGTTAAATTACAAAGAGAAGAATTCCAAGAAAGTGGGATCACATGTTCAGTAATATATTAGTTTGCTAGGACTGCCATAACAAAGTACCACAGCCTGGGTGGCTTAAACAAAAATTTATTTCCTCACAGTTCTGGAGGCCAGAAGTCCAAGATCAAGATATCAGCAGTGTTGGTCACTTCTGAGGGCCTCTCTTCTTGGCTTATAATTGTATTCTGTATCTTCACATGGTCTTCCCTCTGTGTCCTAATCTCCTCTTCACACAAGGACACCAGTGATATTGGATTAGTGATCACCCAATGACCTCATTTAACATTAGTTACCTCTTTAAAGACCGAAATATAGCCATGTTCTGAGGGGCTAGGGGTTAAGACTTCCACATATTAATTGGGGGGGACACAATTCAGTCCAGTAACAAAGAGGATAAATAGTGGATGAAAGATAGAATGGCACAGAAGCAGCATTGTAAAAGGTCTAGGGTAGGCCTGGTGTTGCCACTTTTATGTCATTGAGCAAGACAGTTTCTCTGACCCTCAGTTTTCTGATCATTAAAAAAGGATAGGCTTCCCTGGTGGTGCAGTGGTTGAGAGTCCCCCTGCCAATGCAGGGGACACGGGTTCGTACCCCGGTCTGGGAAGATCCCACATGCCGCGGAGCAGCTGGGCCCGTGAGCCATGGCCGCTGAGCCTGCGCGTCCGGAGCCTGTGCTCCGCAACGGGAGAGGCCACAACAGTGAGAGGCCCGAATACAGCAAAAAAAAAAAAAAAAAAAAGGATAAAATTTTCCCTGTGCTATTTTAAGAATCGAATAGAAAACACACATAAAAGCATTTGGTCAACTCAAAGGTTCTCTTCTTATATAAGTTATCATTCATACTTATAAAACTATTGATTGCTACAGCTGAGAGAAATCATAGGTTATAATGAAAGGATTGAGGTCTTAACGTAATAAATTCTTAATTTTTTAATGTAGTTGCAGTGCAAAAATATGTTGAGAAAGAAATAACAGCATAATTAAGGTATATTCTTCCAACCTAACATTACAACAAATTAGTTTATTTTAATAATTAGATATACCTATTTGAATACCTATTAGAATAATAATTAGAATAACCCAGTATACTCAGGAAGTGTATCTTTTTTTTTTTGCTTTTCTAACTACTTCCTGGTGCATTTTGGTCTTTCTTTTTAAGTTGTTTTTGTTTGTTTTTAAAATTAAATTATAGTTGATTTACAATGCTGTGTTAGTTTCTGGTGTACATCAAAGTGATTCAGTTATACATATATATAGTCTTTTTCATATTCTTTTCCATTATGACTTATTATAGGATATTGAATATAGTTCCCTGTGCTACACAGTAGGCTCTTGTTGTTTATCCATTCTATATATAATAGTTTGCATCTGCTAGTCCCAAACTCCAGTACATATTTCCCCCACCACCTCTCCCTCTTGGCAACCACAAGTCTGTTCTCTGTCTGTAAGTCTGTTTTTGTGGATGGGTTCATTTGTGTCATATTTTAGATTCCACATTTAAGTGATATCATATGGTATTTGTCTTTCTCTTTCTGACTTAATTCGGTTAGTATGATAATCTCTAGGTCCATACGTGTAACTGCAAATGGCATTATCTCATTCTTTTTTATGGCTGAGTAACATTCCATTGTATCTATGTACCATATCTTCTTTATCCATTTATCTGTTGATGGACATTTAGGTTGCTTCCATGTCTTGGATATTGTAAATAGTGCTGCAATGAACATTGGGGTGCATGTATCTTTTTGAATTGCTGGATCATATGGCAACTCTATTTTTAGTTTTTTCAGGCACCTCCATATTGTTTTGCATAGTGGCTGCACCAATTTACATTCTCACCAACAGTATAGGAGGGTTCCCTTTTCTCACAACCTCTCCAGCATCTATTATTTATAGACTTTTTTTTAACATCTTTATTGGAGTATAATTGCTTTACATTGTTGTGTTAGTTGCTGCTGTATAACAAAGTGAATCAGCTATACGTATACATATATCCCCATATCTCCTCCCTCTTGCGTCTCCCTCCCACCCTCCCTATCCCACCCCTCTAGGTGGTCACAAAGCACCAAGCTGATCTCCCTGTGCTATGCGGCTGCTTCCCACTAGCTATCTATTTTACATTTGGTAGTGTATATATGTCCATGCCACTCTCTCACTTCATCCCAGCTTACCCTTCCCCCTCCCCAAGTCATTAAGTCCACTCTCTACGTCTGCGTCTTTATTCCTGTCCTGCCCCTAGGTTCTTCAGAACCATTTTTTAAAAATTTAGATTCCATATATATGTGTGAGCATACGGTATTTGTTTTTCTCTTTCTGACTTACTTCACTCTGTATGACAGATTCTAGGTCCATCCACCACACTACAAATAACTCAGTTTCGTTTCTTTTTATGGCTGAGTAATATTCCATTGTACATAGGTGCCACATCTTCTTTATCCATTCATCTGACGGGAATGTAAATTGATACAGCCACTATGGAGAACAGTATGGAGGTTCCTTGAAAAACTAAAAATAGAACTGCCATATGACCCAGCAATCCCACTACTGGGCATATACCCTGAGAAAACCATAACTCAAAAAGTGTCATGTACCACAATGTTCATTGCAGCACTATTTACAATAGCCAGGACATGGAAGCAACCTAAGTGTCTATAGACTTTTTAATGACGGCCATTCTGACCAGTGTGAGGTGGTACCTCATTGTAGTTTTGATTTGCATTTCTCTAATAATTAGCAATGTTGAGCATCTTTTCATATGCTTCAGCCATCTGTATGTCTTCTTTGGAGATATGTCTATTTAGGTCCTCTGCCCATTTTTTGATTGGGTTGTTTTTTTGTTATTGAGCTGTATGAGCTAGGAAGCATATCTTCTGCAGCACTTTTATACATCTACTTTTATCAGTATCAACTATTTTAGCACTTAACTGTTGAACAGACAGATTCGGTCAATTCAGTACATTTTGTGCATCATATCTTAAAGGAAAAATTTTGCCAAATATTATTTGATGATGATGCTACCTTCCTATAAATTACATTTCTGTTTCTCCTTGGAAATATGTTCATTTTAATACTTCACTTCTTAAAGAATCATTTGATAAAAAAATATTTAAATGAAGATAGATAACTTTTATTCAGTTTGGGCTCACTTGACATATCATGAGTTATCTTTTTCAGGGAATGAAATCAGTCAAGTTGAAGGGCTTGACAACTTAGAATTCCTTCAGCAATTGGTAGTGGACCATAACCGCATCAGAGCCTTTAATGATAGTGCCTTTGCCAAACCAAGCTCTCTGTTGGCGCTTCACCTAGAGGAAAACAGACTACGAGAGCTGAGCAAATTACAACCTTTGGTAAAACTAGAGAAACTCTTCCTAGGATATAATAAAATCCAGGTAACATTATTTATGAGATTTAAAAGACTTAACTCCTTTGAATATAAAGCTTCCAAGCACACCAATGAAAATTTTGCTAGTGTGTTATTTATCATTTATATGACATGTAAATACTCTGGGATGCAGAAATGCTCACCTTGCTGCTAGACTTATAAACCCAACCAACCCACATGCATCTACCTGCAGATCCTCTAAGAGATATTTTTTGTTCCTGACTTCTCTTAGTCCAAGCTATTTGTGCATCTCAATCCTAGACTCCCTCTGCCCCTTTAAACTTAACATATGTACTTGTTCTACCTGACATTTGAATCAACTCCTGATAATGGACTTCGACTTGGCTTTAATAATCCATCTTTCCCCACTCAAGGCTTCCTAAGCTAGCATCCTGCATTTGTTTCACCTGCTCATAATTCAGCCTGTTTCCATTAGGCCACTGCCCCAACTGAGCCTGCCCAAACTCTCTTCTGAGATAGTATGCAGATAAGAGGGTTGAAGGTATTTCTCCTAACATTTCTCTCAGTGTTTTGCTGATGATCGGTTAGCCCTCCTTTTACCAATTTTGATATTTCTGCCCATACCTCTAAGACAATCTTGAAGACAAACTGAACTGTATACTGCCCTGCAAGGGCAGGGACCATGTCTTTCTTGCCCACATTTGTATTAGTATATAGCAAAGCATCTGGTACATAGTAGATACACGATCAATACTTGTTAGTGGCTCTTCTTGCTGGAGTTCAGGAAGCCTTTTCTGGAGTGATATAAAAGCCTGTTCAAGGCTACAAGGAAATCATGATCAGTGCCCCTTTCTACACAGCAACTAGTAAATACATATACAGAGAAAATTACATACAACTCACACATCAAGGGTCAAACAACATTCATCTGAGAAAAAGCCTGCCAAAACTGGCAATGGTTCTTCCAAAGCTTTATCCAGAAGAAATCTAAATTAGGATAATTGCTATCCTATAGGAACTCTTTCCAGTGATAGCAACTGAGCTAACACAAAGAATATGTCAAATCAGACTTACTTGAATCTGAGACCTTACCCAGTATCAAGCCTTACTAATAATTTCAAGGATACACAGGGTCTGGGGCATTCCTGTGGCTTCTCAAATTCCACTTCCAAGTCATCTAAAATAGGTCTAAATATTTTTATAGTTACTAGATGAATTGGCTAAACCCACTAGTCATCCCAAATAAGAAGAGGAGCATATCAATAACTTTGTTTTATTACTATGAACTAGCAACAACATGAAGCTGATCTTGTTGCCTAAATTTTGTCAGCAATAGCATTTTAGAAATAACTTTGCAGAAACTAAAATGTATTTGCAAACTTTCACCAATGTTAAATAGATAATAATAAATAATCCCATCCAGTAGCAAAGGCAAGTCATTCAACTAGAGAAATAGTTTTTCAACTATATACATTACCATCAAATATATCAGTATTAAGTCCATTCAATATGACATGCTCCTTCATGGTTAAGGTTGTGTTTGATATGCACCTTTGAAATTGTTTAGACTAGATTCACCTCCTTTTCTACACATCTAGGTCAATCCTCTTGGGAATTAACCAAATATAATCTGAGTTTTAGAATAGATCATAAGTCTTCTGAAAAAAATATGGTCTTTCCTAGTAAGCACTGCTGTATGGCCTGTTTCCCATGTTAGCTTGTCATCTTTACCCAGTCATGTATTTGGAATCAATAGTACACAAATCTGTCTTTAATCAACAATACAGAATATTGTCAATCAAGCTCACTTCAGAAGATTCAATCATGAACTCGTTGCAATCCAACACTTACATATAATTACTTCAAATCAGCATATATTTAAAGATGTTGGGTCTAACCAAATAATAACTTACTGCTTAATTTTTTAATAGGATATGGCAGAACTGGAAAAACTTGATGGTATCTCTTCCCTCAGAGAACTTACAGTTTATGGCAATCCAGTGAGTGTGTTATTTTTCTAATTTATTAGTTAATTTATTTTAAATATAATTTATAGTTGTATATAACTTATTTTTATATAATGTGAGAAAAGATTTAATTTTATCTGTTTCCATATGCGTAAACAGTTATCCAAGCACAATTTATTGACTAGCGTCTTCTTCCAACTGATTACAATATAAACTGTCATTGTCATATACAAGAGGGTCTACTTCTTGGTTCTACTTTGTATTCATTGGCCTATTTGTCAATCCCTATAACATTACACTGTGTTAATCACTAAAGTTTTACATTAAGTCTTGATGTCCAGTAGAGTAAGCACCTCTAATTTTCCTTGTCTTCCACCTTCTCTTTTTTTTTCCTTCACTGTCTTGGCTATCCCTGGCCCTTTACACTTCCTATGAGTTTCAGTAAACAGCTTCTCAAGTTATATGAGAATCTTGTTGATATTTTAATTGGAATTGCACTGAATTTATATATTAATTTTGGGAAAAATTTGCCACCTTTCCCGTCGGAGTCTTTGAAGGGATCAAATAAGTAGCATCCTTACTCACCTAACATTTGAACGAATTGAGAAATATGACAGTGGCAGATAGCTGAGAATATTTTGCTTAGCTTAGTGAGAAAGCCAAATGGGCCTGCTAACAGATGCCAAAAGTAAGTCATGATGACCCAGTAGCAGGAAATACTTCACTGAGGCCTTTCCACATAGGAGGAGAGCTTCTCCTGGAGGAGCAGAAGGCATTCTCCCAGCAATAAGCTCCTTCTCAAGAGGAAAGACAGGAGCTAAACATACCCAGTTTAATCTTCCCAGATTGGGACTTCCCTGGTGGCGTAGTGGTTAAGAATCTACCTGCCAATGCAGGGCACACGTGTTCGAGCCCTGGTCCAGGAAGATCCCACATGCCGCAGAGCAACTAAGCCCATGTACCACAACTACTGAAGCCCACGCACCTAGAGCCTGTGCTCCACAACAAGAGAAGCCACTGCAATGAGAAGCCCGCGCACTGCAACGAAGAGTAGCCCCTGCTCGCCGCAACTAGAGAAAGCCCGTGCGCAGCAGCAAAGACCCAATGCAGCCAAAAATAAATAAAATAAATAGGGCTTCCCTGGTGGCGCAGTGGTTGAGAGTCCGCCTGCCGATGCAGGGGACACGGGTTCGTGCCCCGGTCTGGGAAGATCCCACATGCCGCGGAGCGGCATGCCCGTGAGCCATGGCCGCTGAGCCTGCGCGTCCGGAGCCTGTGCTCTGCAACGGGAGAGGCCACACAGGGAGAGGCCCGCGTACCGCAAAAAAACAAAACAAAACAAAACAAAAAAACCCCACAACAACATAAATAAATAAATTTATTTTAAAAAAAATCTTCCCAGATTTATCAGTTAAGTCGCTCTCCTTCCCCGAGAGAAGGAGTGAAGGGACTGAGAGAGCCAGTAGTGCCACATCATAGAGCTATTTCCACCAAGAAAGAAATACAATAAGCAGTCTCCCGTAATATTTATAGCATTGAGCCTTCTCTTTCACAAACACAAATATCCCTGTGTTTATTTTATGTCCTTCAATAAAGGTCTGTGATTTTCTCCTAAAGGTTTTAATCATCTTTGGTTAGATTTATTCTGTTGTTTTTTGTTTTGTTTTGTTTTGTTTTTGCGGTACGCGGGCCTCTCACTGTTGTGGCCTCTCCCATTGCGGAGTACAGGCTCTGGACGCACAGGCTCAGCAGCCATGGCTTATGGGCCTAGCCGCCTCACAGCATGTGGGATCTTCCTGGACCGGGGCACAAACCCGTGTCCCCTGCATCGGCAGGCGGATTCTCAACCATTGTGCCACCAAGGAAGCCCTATTCTGTTGTTTTAATAGCTGTTTTAAACAATATCTTTTTATATTTTTCTAGTTGTTTGTTGCTAAAGTATAGAAATTCTGATTTTTGCATATTACTCTTTATCCAGGAAGCTTGCTGAACTCTCTTTTAAATTCTAATGGATTGTAAATTTTGTTGGATTTTCTCTGTAGACAATCATAGTATCTACAAATAATGACTCTTTCTTTCCAGTCCTTATGGTTTTATTTCCTTTACTTCTGTCAGTGTGCTGACTAGGACTTCTAGTACAGTGCTGAATAGACACACTGATAGTTACTGACCTCAAAAGAATGCTTCTAAATTGTCACTATTAAATATGTTTGCTGTAGGTTATGGGTAGATAACCTTCAACATTTTAAGGCAGTTCCTTTCTAATTCCAGTTTACTACTTGTTTTTATCAGGAATGGTCACTGGATTTTAACTAATTGGAAATATAGTATTTCTCTTTAATCTGTTAATATGCAAATTATATTAATAGATTCTGGTGCTAAACCATCCTTAAACTCCTGGGATGAATACTACTTGGTCATCTTTTATACTTTATTGGATTCAATTTGCTAAAATTTCATGTAGCATATCTCTATGGAAATAAGTAAAATTATTCTGTAATTTTACTTTATTATACTATTCTTTTCAAGTTCATCAAGGCTGTTCTTGCCTCATAAAATTAATTGGGGAGTTCTCCCTCTTTTTCTAGTCTATGAATTAATTTATATAAAAGAAGACTCGTGTGTTCCTTGAAGGATAATTAGATCCTGTCTCTAAAACCATGTGAACTTAATATTTTTTGAAGTTAGATTTTAAACTACTTATTCAAACCCTTTAATTGATATATATTATCTAGCCATTTTCTATTAAACTGATAAGAACAGATACTACACTTGTTCTTAACAAAAAGGCAAGAAGCAATTTCTATTTATTCAAAAGTCAATATTGAGAACTTATATTTTTCAATAAAATTGTCCTTTTATCTAAATTTTAAAAGCACTTCCATCATAATACTTTCATGAATTTTAAAAATCTCTACTATATCTGTGTTTTGTCACCTTTTTTATATCTAAATTTGTTGGTATTTTTTTGCTTTTTCTCTTTTATTCTTGATGAGTCTTACTAAAGGTTTGTCTATCATATTAATCTCTTCAAATAACCATATTTTGGTTTTATCAAGTGTAATTTTTCTTTTTTGTTCATTAATTTCTACCCTTTACCTTTAGTTTCTTGGAATTTACTTTTTTAAAATATTCTGGAGTAGAATGCCTAGCTCATTAATTTTTAATATTTCTTCTAAATGAATAAATTTTAGGTTACAAAATACTGCTTTAGCAATAGCCTAAAAGTTTTGATATGTTATGTTTTTCCTGCTATTTCTTAGAATCTACTTTACAGGGACTTCCCTGGTGGTCCAGTGGTTAAGATTTTGCCCTCCAATGCAGCGGGTGTGGATTTGATCCCTGGTCAGGGAGCTAGGATCCCACATGCCTTGCAGCCACAAAACCAAAACATGAAACAGAAGCAATATTATAACAAATTCAATAGACTTTTAAAAAAATGGTCCACTCAAAAAAAAAAATCTTAGAATCTACTTTACAAAAGATTTCTTCTTTAATCTGTGAATTATTGAGGATTATGTGTGTTAATTTCAAACCTATTAGGTATTTTTAGCTATCTCATTATTTATTTCTAGTGTTATTACATTTTAATCAGAAGAGACAGTCTATACATTCTTTGGTTTTATGAAACTGGCTTTGTGGCCTTGAATGTGCTCATTTTTTTTAACTCAATTTACGGCTTAGAGATCTCTCTCCATTAATGTATATGTATCTACTACATTTTAAAAAAATAGTTTATTCCCCTCTGATGATAATCTTTCTTTCTTTTGTTATCACAAACAGTGCTGCATACTTCTTCTGTGTTGTCAGTACCCCAGATCATCCCTATATTCAGAGATTTGCTAAAAGTCAAGGGACTTAGCATATAGCTATACTCATGGCTAAGATTTATTACTGTGACGTAATGAGGATACACAGCCAAGTGATGAAGGAAAAACACACGGGCAGAGTCTGGAGGAATCCATGTGCAGGCTTCCTTATGCTCTTTCCCTCACATGAGGGGATCACAGTGTGCACTCTTCACACACCAACAAAAATGTAGCAACAAATGTGTTATATTTCTGCCCAGGAAATCCCATTAGACTTAATAGCATTCAAGAGTTTTTTTGGAAGCTGGTCATGTAGGTACCCTGGGCCAATCACATACCAAAATTCCAGACTCCCAGAAGGAGAGCAGGTTGAACATGAATCCTATTGTTTGTATAAGCAGTCTAGGCATAGTGAACTACCCTTATCAGTTAAGGAATGGTGGGAGAGCTTCCAAAATCCAAGTACCAAACTCTTGTCAAGAGCTCCTTGCAAACAGATCCTTCTAAAGATAACAGCCTCAAGCCTACTATGTTAACACTTTCTACACACTTTCTTATGTACTTATGCAAGTATTTTTACAGTAGGTTAATACTATGAAGTGATGGATCATATAGTTCAATAGATGTGTATTGAATTAAACTGCATAGTGTCTATGGGAAATTATCATACAAGTTTCAAACTAATTACTTATAAGTGAACTTTTATAATATAATCCTATTCATGAGTTGGGATCGCCTGTAGTTAATGAACAATACCATATACTCTAAAAAGACATTAAATCTCCAAGTGGTAGCCTTGTTTTAAAAAAAAAAAAACTTCTCATCTTCATTTGGCATAACAGGGAATTGAGGAATCTTTCAATAAGGGAATTCGTATTTATATCATTTAATACTACAAATTAGCTGTTACATGTGATCTCTGCTGTCTATGCTTCTCTATAAAGGTTAATCTTTGAAATAAAAAGTTTTTTTAAGGAATGAATTGTTATTTTTAACTTTATTCAGATTTGTAGAAAAATGCTACATCGCCACGTGCTTATATTTCGACTGCCTAACTTACAGATGTTAGATGGAATCCCTGTGAATTCAGATGATAGGGCAAAAGCTGAATTTCACTTCTCTGAACCACAAGCAAAGAAAAATTTGGTAATAATTCTATTATTTACACTTTTTCTTTTAAAATACATAAATTATTAGTAGATGAACATTCTGTCATGAGTTTTTACGTAATGTTTAAACCTGAGGTATGATGTTTTTCTAGATAATTTTAGTATGTATTTGGTGATTACTGTCAAAAGCAGCTTGATCTGGTGAATAGAGCATATACACATAGAAGCTAGGAAAGCTCCTTATTCAAAAAACATACTTTGACATAAAGCAAATTATTTTAAACTGTGCCTCTTGTTCCATATGTCAGATAATGCTAGAAGGTAAGAAACTGTAACGTATCACTCTTATAAACAGTGACTAACAATAAAACTCTCTCCACTTAGGAGATAGAAAGGGAAGGAAGGAATAATGACCTCAAACTCTCTGGACTGTGTAGTTCATCTAAAAAGGGAGGTGTGTGCCTCTTTTCTTGTATATTGGCAGAATAATCGGGCCTTTTGCCTATGAACCCTAGTAGGGTATCTGAGCATGACAGGGAAGAGGTTAGAGAGAGAAGCCACAAAAGCATATAATTTGGAAATTCTATCATTGACCACCAGGATTTTTCATAACTATCTTAAAAGACTAAATTTAACACAGAAAAGCTATGGTTTTTGAACAAAGAAGTAACACTATTAGAGCTGTGCCTTTGCAAGGTTTAAGGAAGAAGGAGCTGGAGGCAGAGAAACCAGCTAAGAGGCTTTTAGAATAATCCAAGAGAGATTATGAAAACCTGGACTAAGGTGGGGCAGTGAGAGTGTAAATGAACCTCTACTGTCAGTGAAAGCAAGAGAGCAAGGGCGTTAGTCAGTGAACAAAGATTACTTTTAAAAGTTAAGTTGAAGAGGAAAGCAATAAGACTACTGTAGATGCTTTCATTTATCTCACTGGCTTACCCAACACTCTCCACTCCCTTTGTAAAACCAACTAACGAGTTCCCAGAGCACATTGAACGTTTGATACTAGTAGGCTACTCTCTAAGCTCACTTCTGCCTTCAGCAATTGATTCACGTATTTATTGAGTCGGCTGTGTTTTTTCAAAAACTTGTAACTTTTATTTTAAATAAACAGATACACAAGTACAAATTTTAAATTATTATTTCTATGTTTCTATGAAAGCCAAATGGGATTCTCTGTAAAGTCTGGAAAAAGGTCAATTACACAAATCACAAATAATTGATTACACATACACAAATAATATCAAATTAGGTTGGGAGGAAAAAACCCTGCAAAATAAGGAAGAAAATTATAAAAATTCAGACTAATATGTGGGAAAATTTCTTTAAATCTAGACAGTTTCTTGTATTCAAATTTTCTCCACATGTTGTTGAAGTCTTGCTACTTTAACGAAACCAAAACTGGAAATTGTAGGTAAAACCCTTAAGGGTGGATTTATCAATCAGATAAAATACCAGTCAAGGGACTCTTTCTTAAAGAAAAGGCCTTGACCCTTCATCAAAAGATGTGTGGGCACATGTACTTTTATGTTTTTAAATTTTTTTTAAGAATTATAAAAAGAATTATAGATCTAATTCTTATTATTCCCTGACTTTTTAAAATTAACCAAGGGGATTCTATTATGGGTGAAAATAGCTATAGAGACCTGTGAAACTTAGAGCTGTACAATGTTAATAAAGATTATCTAAAAAAAAAAAAAGATGATCTAGATTAGGCAGAGGAAATTGGTTCATTTATGGGTTATATTTACAAATGTTTTTCTAAAAACTATGCTTTGTGAAAAAAAGCTTAGCTACTAATCTGTATAACTAAGAGACAGCACCATCTAATGTCATCTACCTAATTATTGTCACAGTCTCTAGTCTTTAAAAAGAGAATAATTAAAATTTAGTTCAGTGATTTATGCCTCCTTTCCCTTTCTCTCTTATATTCCATGAGCAAGTCACTTCTTGCTTCCAGAAGTGGAAAACTAAAGGAAACTTTAGTCTCTTATTGCTGTTGTAACAAATTACCTCAAATTTGGTGTCTTGAAACAACACAAATTTATTATCTTACAATTCTGGAGGTCGTAAGTCCAAAAAATCAGTCTTACAGAGAGCTAAAATCACAAGTATCGGCAGGGCTGCATACCTTCTAGGAGAGAATTTGTTCTTTGCCTTTCAAACTTCTAGAGGCTATCTGCATTCCTTGGCTCATGGCCCTCTTCCAGCAATGGCATCACTTTGACCTCTGCTTCCATCATTACATCTTCTCTCACACTGACCCTCCCTGCCTCCCTCTTATAAGGACCCTTGTGATTGTATTGGGCCCACCTCGATAATCCAGGATATTCTCCCCATCTCAAAATCCTTAATTTAATTATGCCTGTAAAGTCCTTTTTTGCCACGTAAAGCATTCACAGGTTTTAGAGATTAGGATGTGGACATCTTGGGGGGGCGGCATTATTCTGTCTATCATACCATAAATGTGAGGCCTCCAGTGAGAGACCTATACAAATTGTAACATTTGATAAATTCTATTTTAAGGTAATGTTGGCTACATTTTAAAAATTCCATATAACTTCATAAATACTCACTAAATTCCATATAAAGAAATCACTTAGAGCAACTTTAAAGATCCCAATTTCCATACATATTTTTTAATTAGTTTCATATAGCAAAAAAAATACATAAACTCAAATTGTAGTCAATGATGGATGATTATTTCACTAAAGGTTTTGCTTGTTGGCTATTCTTTTCTATTTCTCATATAGTGAACTAAGATTTTTCCAATTCTGTACTACCATGTCGTCTTTAGTGATTCTAGATACCTATTCTTGCCATTCAAATCGGTGCCGTACATAAGAATTTAATTACCTTTCCATTTACTCTATATGTAAATACTTTATTTAAAAATTGGGTTTTAAAGAATTCATCTATATATGGTTAGTAAAATAAAGGGGGTATTTGAAGTCTTTATTTCAGAGAAATCTATTTTAAGATGCAATAATAATTTTTATTTTCCTGGCTAGAAAAAAATTGAGCTATTCATTTAGCTGTTCAGAAGACACAAGAACAGAATACTTTTCAAGTTTTATCAGTTCAGTCTAATGTATTTTTCTTTGTTTTAGTTGCTGCTGTTCTTTCTTTTTAACAGCAAAAAAAATAGGAAATAAATGAAATCTAAAGTTGACCTTTAAACCAGAACATTTTGGTGCTCCGGTTTCAGAAGAAAATTTGACAATATTCTAGTTTAATGATGGGAAGAAACTCCTATGAAGGAATTAGGGAATTTGGGATCAGCTTTAGTAAAAGGCCTGATACCTTAGTGCTCATTACGAAGCTGCATTTTGGTTACATTTACTGAAATATGAGGGAAATGGGTAATTTTACACAAACGGCAAAAGCCTGTATCTCTAAATAAATTAAAACATATATTCAGAATTCATATTTTTTAAAGTATAAACAAGGTCAGTCTTACTAAAGACAGAGCAGGCATAAATTTCTAGGGAAACCAAGAGTCTCCAGCCTAAAATACTTCTCTCCTCCATTTGCTGATTCCTGAAAATCTTTTAAAAGCCTCTTAATTCTCAACTAACATAAAATGTAAACACCGTTTAGAGAGTTAGCACACTCATTAAAAGTGATTGTTATAAGATGCTTTTCTTAGTCCCCATTTTATTTACTTGTTTGTTCTTGAAAAACTAATTAACTGCAAGACACCTGGTGAGGTAATGTGAGGAACACAAAGATGTGGAAGATACAACTCTTACCATTTAGAAATTCCTGTTCAGAAAAAAAAAAAAGATATCACAAAGGGGTAAAGGCACACTTACCTTGTTAAGACTCTTTGGAATGGGGTGGTGCCATCACCCTAGACTGTTGTAATGAGTACAATGCAGTCTGAAAAAAACAGAACATAAGGTTCTGAGGGGGGTTAAGGGCCCAAAAATCTGTCTGTTTCACAGTTTTTGCCTCATACAAACTCTGAGTTTAGGGAAGCATATAATTTCTGACCTAAAAAATTTTAAGGTGATTATCAAGTGGGGCTTGTGGTAAGGCTAAGACTACTGATCTGAGTTTTTGAGATAAGGCATTCTTAACTTTTCTTTTATTATGTAGTTTATTCCTGTTACCAACTCTCCTGTGGATGGTGGATCGTTTGGCCAAGTGAAAGCTCCTTCCATAAAGATAACAAATGTAATTCGGCCTGGTGGATTTGGCCATTACTTGGGATCTGACTTCACTTTAACTCCTGAAGTTGAAGGTATTTTGACAGTTTCTGAGTGAATGTAAAAAAGCAAAAACACTTCATTTGAAACAAAAATCTCACTTTGATTTCTAATACTACTTAAAATTGCATATTTTACATTTACATTTCCTAAAATTGAATGTTCAAGTTTCATGTGACCATTCTGATTTCAAAGAATCTACAGTATTTTTTTATTTTTTTATTTTTGTGGTACGCGGGCCTCTGACTGTTGGGGCCTCTCCCGTTGCGGAGCACAGGCTCCGGACGCGCAGGCTCAGCGGCCATGGCTCACGGGCCTAGCCACTCCGCAGCACGTGGGATCTTCCCGTACCGGGGCATGAACCCGTGTCCCCTGCATCGGCAGGCGGACTCTCAACCACTGCGCCACCAGGGAAGCCCTATATAGTATTTTTTGGTTCTACTCAACTACTAATATGTTGTAACTACACATTTGCTTGCAATTTGAACTTTGTGATACTTGCACAATTGTTCTTGACGTTTCTTTTCAAAGCTTTTATTACATTTTGTGTATTTCATAGCAAACGACTACTAAAACCTGTAGTACATCCTGCTAAAAGTAGAAATCAGAGGTTTAAAAATATTGGTAACAACAGACTCTTGGGGTTCAAAGGGTATCTTACAGAGAGAAGATCAAACTTCATCCTTGAAACCACAATATTATTTTATATATTCATGAAGCTATTAGTAGGGAAGTGTTTCAAGAGGTAGCTCTCTAAAGGAAGGGAGTATATTAAAAGGACAAGGCATGGAAATGTTTCGTTCTATTATATACATTTTCATTCAGACTTAGATCATGCCTTTTCTCTAATTCCAGATCTTCACTGGCTACCATTTTGGTGAAATTGGGGGTAGCTACTCTTTCCCTGAGGGCTCACCTCTTCCATTCTTTCTAACATCCCACTTTGCCTCAGACTACTGTTAGACAATAAAACTGAACATCACAATAATAATAAAATGATCTAAAAGCCTACTAAGAATATGCAATTTTTTTAAAGGAAACTCAGTTAAAAGAAATTCAACATAATTTACTCTAAGATGTTATTTTTTGTTTAACTTATTTTTCATACTTCTACATACTTATGGCTTCAAGATTTTAATCATAGTGAGAAATTTAATGCTTTTGTCCAGTAGATAGAACTATCAGTAAAACTAGACATACCAAATTGTTATTAGCCTCCTTAATAGTACATTGTCATCACTGTCATCTTCAGGAATGTCTTCAATATCTTTGGGGGGGGGGCATTAGTTCAACCCTGGATTCATTTCCATAAGTTTCTTCTCAGATATCTTTAAGATTCATTATGCAACTACTTTTTTAGGATTTTCTGGAAAAGTCCTATTTCTTTCCTATTTTCTGACTGTGTTGCCCCAATTTTTGTTTTGAAAAGTATGGTCATTTTATTGATACATTTATTATAGCACACAGCTCTGGATATTTATATTTTTAAAAATTACCAAGAAGGTATCAAACTGATCCACTAGCTCAGAAAAATTTAAGCAGCATTAAGTGCTAGAAATATAGTCCAATTTTTATTTTTATTCAAAAATTTTAATTCATGTTATGAAATATGTATAGCACACAGTCAACTGAAGGACAACCAAACCTTATTAATTTATTAATGCTTTTCATTGTTTCATAATTCCTAATTTCAGACAAAAAAGACAAGAATGCAGGGATTCTAACAAGTAATCCTCAGAGCATCCATGCAGAAATAGCTTTTCAGCAACTCAGAGGGATAAATCTCTCTCCATCTCTTTTATCACATCAGAATATGGCATCCCCAAGTGCAGAAATATACCAGAGCAACCAAGATGAGGGAAGGTAAAGCTTTTCTGTGTTTTAATATCACTTGTCATCATTAAAAAAAAAAAAAAAACTTCCCCAATTTGCTTGTCATCTATAGAAATAGGAAACTATTAATTGGGAACTACTATTATGGGAACTACTTTTAATTGTATTCTCTCCCAAGTCACTTCTAATCACTGAATATGCAAAGCAGTTCACTTATATTTTGAACAACAGATAAATTCAACTCTGAAATCACAAAGGCTGAGAATTATGTAAATTTTTCAAGCTTCTTATAATTCCCAGTTGCCCTTCCTCCAATTTGGATCCTAGCCCTAGAGGCCAGCTGAAGGCCTAAGACCATGCTACTTCTCATTAAGAATTCACTCTGCTGCTCAACACCTGTCCACCCAGATTTCCAGTTAATACCTGTCCTCTAGCTTCTTTGTAGCCAATCTCTGGAGCGTCTATTAGAGTGACCTAGCAGCAAATCTACCTTAAGCCTGGTTCTTGCTGTACTAACTTCCCTGCTATAATCAGTCGTGTCCCACTGAGAATATATTTAGTGAGTGTAATATACTGATACCATATTTTGGTATCAATGGTTTATCCTCATGATGACCTGATTTATAGATAGCCAAAAATAGGATATTATTCTTTCTTGTGTTGTCTTTTTGAAATTGTACACATATAAAATACAAAAATTATTTACTGCAGAATTACCTTAAGTGAGCTGATCCATTAAGAAATTGTCACCATTACTTGACTCATAAATATTTTGTTTCTGACAGAATTCCTGGCAGACACTTTCCAAGATCAAATCGAATGTAACTGCCTAAAGAGAAATGAATATATACCAAGAAACCTATTTCTGTTTAGTAGTTGTGCAAAAACTAGCAGCCAGTGTCGGTGATAAAAAATATAAGACAATCACATTACTTATGTTACTGAAGCACTTCAGTTCCATATGAAGATAATCTCTATCACCCTTGGTGAATTTTATTTAATATCATCTTTCTTAAACTTTCTTTATGGTTATCTTAATTATTCATTTGATTTTCTATGTTAGAAAAATCATGAAATATATCATACAACAATTGAAAAGATACAAGTGACATAAAACAAAGTTCAAAGAATCAAATGTTTAGTCCTGGGGTATTGGAAGCATTTAGTTGTAAAATCTCATTTTGGCTTCTCATATAAAGATACTAAGAAAAGGTAATTTTAGGAAATAAGCATACTTTCATTTGTAGAATATCTGTTCATTTAGGCTTACCTAAAGCTAAAGCACACATTTCTTACCAAACACAACTATTACTAAAGCAAGTTGAGTTGTGCTAGTTGAACTACAGATTAGTTTTTTAGGACTATATTTCGAAAAAAATAGCCTCAAACTGAGTCCGCCCTAAGAATTGTTTAGAGATGGAAATCATAGGCATCAATAGTACTTCCTGAAGGTAGCTATGAGTGCAACCAGCCATTCATGCTCTAAGAATAAAAGAATAGTATTTCATATACACAATTCATTGAATGTGCCCATAGTGATATAATTTTACAAACAAGTTTTAGGCTAAATAAACACATGTTCAAAATAAGTGGACACATTTAAAATTTGGACTCAATTATATTTTACTGGAAATAAGTTTTCTAAAATATTGACAATTACATTGTATAGTACTAGGAAAAATCATAAATCAAGTATGGTTTTGAATTTATTTATTAAACACAGTTCTTTAAATTAATGATTAAATTGCCAATCATATTTTTATATCAATGGGCTCCAAGATTCATGAAGTATTGTTTAAATTTTTCAAGTAGTGGTTCAACGCTACATGTAATTTTCATATTATTTTATGTGTTCCTTACATGAAAATAAATTATTTTTACTAAAATATTTGTATTTTATAATCTATCTGGAAATAGTTTTAAGGATATTTTGGAAACTAATGCCAATATATATGCAACAATTTTGTGTCTTCTTTAAATACTGTATGTTTGTAATTTAATGATGTAATATTTAAAATTTCAAACCTAATACAGATTGATTTTACCCTTCTTAATGTGTGGTTTTTAAACAACTATTACTCTAAGGTAGAAATAAGATCCTTTGTTTAAAAAGGAACCATGCAGTTCTTAAGATGTCCAGAAGATGTCTTTGTTGCCCTTTAGTTCTGACAACTATTTTCATTACAGTGTTGTGATAAGCACCTGCTCTTCACTATTTGTTACTAACTTGACATCATTTGCTTTTTCTTTCTCTTATGATTATGTATAAATGAAATGCTCAATATATGCTACTTTTATAGTAAAAAGTGTCTTTGTAAATAATAAACTGGATGGTAAAAATAAAGTAACAGGTTTTCATTGGAGAAAAATTTACAAGAGCAGAAAAGTATAAAGCAGGAAAAACATAACTTATTATTCAGCATCCACTTAACATTTGACATTTTTTTCGTGTAGCCATTTCTTCTATGTATTTTCTTCTATTCCATTTTCTTCTATGCATTTCTAATATATTTGATATCACTTGATTTTTTTGAACACATTGTTCAATTTTGAGATATTTTATTATAAAATTTTAATTTAATTCGAATTTGTTCTAGAAAGTAAATTTGTGATAATTTAATAGTAACAAACACTAAGAAGAATAATAAACGTATATGGCTTCCCTGGTGGCGCAGTGGTTGAGAGTCCACCTGCCGATGCAGGGGACACGGGTTCGTGCTCCGGTCCGGGAAGATCCCACATGCCGCGGAGCGGCTGAGCCCGTGAGCCATGGCCGCTGAGCCTGCGCGTCCGGAGCCTGTGCTCCGCAACGGGAGAGGCCACAACAGTGGGAGGCCCGCGTACCACAAAAAATAATAATAATAATAATAAATAAATTAAATAATAAACGTATACAGGCATTGCTAGGTGCTGTACAGAAACAGACATTGACCCAACCTTAAGAACATTTTAAATATAAATATACAATCAATACTTCCATATAAAAGCAATGAGGGGGATGATTACTAAGATAATTTGGCACAGTAGTTCTGAAGTTTTTCTGCCATGAAAGCAGATGATGATACATACTCTCCTGGACAGGTTAAGCTGTTGGTTATCTGCAGTTCTTAAAGCAGTTGCTATAACTTCATCCCCTTCCTATTCAACAAAACAAATGAAAATGTAATTGAATATGAGAGATGTTTTTACGGGTCTGCTTTAGATCTGCTCTAAAAAATTTTTTAAGTAGATCATTCACCAACTGTGAAATTTTAAATTATTCATAATACATTTCACAACCGATTGTAACAAAACAAGCAGGTAGTGCTTATTACTATAAACCACTAGTCCATATTTTACATGGTTTATCCTAATAACAAACTTATGAAATAGATGTGACATGTACTGTCTCAATTTATAGATTTAAAAACCTGGCCTTGGGCTTCCCTGGTGGCGCAGTGGTTGAGAGGCCGCCTGCTGATGCAGGGGACGCGGGTTTGTGCCCGGGTCCGGGAAGATCCCACATGCCGCAGAGCGGCTGGGTCTGTGAGCCATGGCCGCTGAGCCTGCGCGTCCGGAGCCTGTGCTCCGCAGTGGGTGAGACCACAACAGTGAGAGGTCCGCGTACCACAAAAAAAAACCCCAAAAAACTGGCCTTAAAAGGAAAAGATATCACACCAAATCCTAGATTTTTTCAACTCTAAATTCATTGCTTTTTTGATTACTACAAATGAACTGACAGTTAATTATTCCTAATGTGCTGTTTAATCAGCTGTTGTCGAGCCCTAATGTGTGTAAAAATTGTAAACTATTCATTCTCTTTCAGTGTATTTAACTTACGGAAAATGTATAATTTCTGCAGTAAAATTAGTTCTTTGCCCCCCAGCAAATGTCATGATAAATTTATTTTGCATGCAGTCATATGCATAATTGTATGACTTGTTTTAAATTAAAGGAGAATTCCACAAACAACCTGGAAAGCTAAAATTTAGGGCACTTTAACTATAGACAAGGAGCCTACCTTGCTGAACTGCATATAGATGATGTCAAAGTGATCTTCTGATTTCTATTTATGAAGATTGACTATAACTGTTTATTAAAACTTTATTATTTACTTGATTTCTCTACTACTGACACAAAATTAACTATGGTTGTGAACATATTTTTGCACAGAATATTTAGTGTGGATCTGTGCGTGTGTGTTTGCAGGCACTCATGACTAGTTTTAAAATAGTCCTTATGTTTAAGTAACGTGTCATTTCATTATTTATTCATAAGCTATCCTATATTATGAGAAGTGTTTAATGTTTTAAAACATTAGATCTTACTGTTAGTCATGCTATAGGCGCTTAGCTTCAATTAAATGTTACATAAAAAGAAGTAAATTATCTATATTTCTATAAGAGTAGAAGAAAGCACTTACATCTTGAGTTCTGTTGGTTATTCAATGAATCTATTATCAGTTTGTTTTGGTATAGAAACTGGCTGATTTTTTAAATTCCTCTGCTATAAAACTTAGAACTTTTGGACAACCTCCAAGTGCTTAACTACTTCTCTTGTTCATCTCTCTGTACTTTCCTCTATTACTGAATTTTTTTTCTTTCTTTTTTTTACATTGAAATATAGATGATGTACAATATTGTTAGTTTTAGATGTACTACATAGTGATTTGACATGATCGCCACTCTAAGTCTTGTAACCATCTGTCCCCATACAAAGTTATTAACAATATTATTGACCATATTCCTTATGCTGTATATTACATCCCTTGGCTTATTTATTTTATAACTAGAGGTTTGTACCTCTTAATCTGCTTCACCTGTTTCACCCTTCACGCCTCTCTGCCTCCCCTCTAGCAAACACCCATTCTTTGTATCTATGAATCTGTTTTCTTTTTGTTTTGTTTGTTTTGTTTTTTAGATTCCACATGTAAGTGAGATTATATGGTATTTGTCTTTGTCTGACTTACTTCACTTAGCAAAATACCCTCTACATACATCCACATTATTGAAGTATTTTTAAAGAAAAACCTGTACCAAATTGAAATTTTAGTTTGCAGTTGCCTTTCAGAACTAGGTCAGCAAAAAGTACACAGTTATTTTATCACTAATATTTTATTTCTACAAGTCTATATCTTATAAAAATATGAATTATATTATTACTTTTTCTTCAATTTATAAATAAAATTGCTTTGTAATCTACAGAAAAGACATTTCTCAGGCCCAATTTATGTGTTTTTTTATCTCAAATTTAGTTTTGGTGATGATTTTTCCTTATAATTAAAGTAAAATATATATAAATGATCTTATAGCAAAAACATGAAATTCTGTGACCTAAGAATAGAATAATACATTCAAAGGAACTTAGAAGGAGCTTTGAAAGTGTTAATTACCTTAAATCAAATTATTTCTCATTCATGTGTAATCTATTAGGCCTTACCTTAACTATATGCTCTTTTAGGTAAATCAGAAAGCAAATTCGTCAACATCATTTTCCATATAAAATATTGGTGATTCTGAAATGCTAATTTTAAAATTCGAATATTTTCCCTTATATTGTATCATTAAAAATAAGAGTATCTATTTCCATATGCTCTGAATAAAAATCCATTGGGATAACATATTTTGGTACCTTTTAAAAATTCATTTCATTTTGATCAAACAATAAAATGAAAATGGATGTGAAGTATTTTTTCACAAATAGTATTCTACATTTTCTTCTAGTTTTTAATTTTATAATTCTAATGAACTTCCAAATGCTTAAAAATATTTCATACCAACAGAGTTCCATTTTTAAACATTACAAATAGGAAAAAAGGTTAGTGATGATATTAAATAAATCATTTACAGTTTATAGTTTTATAAACCATTATGATTACATTTATTTTTAAACAACAATATCTGTATTTTAAACAAAAAAAAAATTAAGACCATGTGGTTTAAAAGCTGTAGATTTTAATCATGGACCTGCATGTTTTACATATTGCTTACTGTAAAACATTAAAATGTTTTAAATAATTTTAGTAGTTTGGCTCTACTCTTTGACTGTTTGTTTCATCTTTAATTACAGCATAACACCTTCCCTTCCCTCCCTGCCCCCAAATGTTTTACAAGTATGTTTCTCAAAGAACAACCAAAAAAGACTAATCTGTAAAAAATATATCAATAACATTTTTAAGTTTCCAATTATTTCTTATTTCATCCTACCAATTTAGCTGAAAACAGGTAT